GAAATTAACTTAAAAATAAAAAGTATTTGTATGAACACGGACAAAGAATTATTAAATTCAAATTACTTTCAACAAACATCTAACAATATTATTATCAAGAGATTAAAACAAAATAATATAATAATAACCTATGTATACTATAGTATGCGTTTTGAAGATAAGAGATAAAAAAACAAAAACAAAAACAACCTATAAGGTTGTAACAATTACAGTGAGATCAAACCAATCTGCCAAATTGAATCTTTAAAATTTTAATTCAAAGAGAGATAATTTATATCTTGTTGGGTTGAAAAAATAATGGTGGATAATTGTTGGATGAGAAATTTGAAGAAACATTAAAATATATATATATATAATTTTTATATTTTCAATTTTTATTAGCTTCTTATGTTTGCATACAATAATTCTATTTTACAGAATTTCATAAATATAATTGTTGTTTTTCTTCAATCAACCAATTAACTTTACATAATTTTGGGCCCTCACAACAGCGGGGCCTTACGCGATCGCCTACCTTGCCTATACTCAGGGCCGCCACTACCGTCCAAGAAGCATGTTTTATTCTTTGCACTTAAGGCAATACTAATGGATCTGTTCCAAATTGCATAATTATCTCCATTAAGGAGTTTGTTGACAAGGCTAGCTCTAGGATGATCTGAGGATGAAGATAGAACGCGACAGCACATCCATGGAGGGAGTGGTTTCAATATTTGTTCTTGTAGCCATTGATTTTTATGATTTGGGCTTCAGATAAAAAATGTTTCAAAGAAATATTTTCAGGATAAACTCGGATACCATGTTAAATAACTTGGTAATATAATTGAAGATAAGAAAATGATTGATATTTCCTATATATTTGTTTACAATCTCTACTCATTCATTTATATAAGAGCAGTGAAACAAAATCAACAAAGATTCAGCAAGTGATAACTAAGAATTAGGAAGAGACAAAACTCAAATTTAAATCAACATCTTTATCCTAAAATCTAGTAACAAACTTCATTTATCAAATTCCAACAGATGAAAACTTAGAATTAAACGTTTGTAGTCTCTGTACTCAATTGGGAGATTTTGAGTTTTGGGGGTTTTAGTTTAAATATGGGGTTTACATGATGTTTAATTAATCTAGGGTATTAATCTGATTGAGTCAATTTTTAGAGCATTTGTACTAATTTCCTCTATGTATAATGGGTTGCATATTCTTTTTTTTTTTTTTTTTTTGGTGATAGGAGAAACAACTATTACATACTAACGCAGAGAACAATCCTTTTTTTGTACTAAAATAAGCAACTAAAACAAAGAAAAAAAATTTGCTATCTGTGATGCTCTCGTGTGTTGTGTTGTCAATGTGTAAGGGTTATATATATATATATTGGTATTAAAGGGTTATGTGGTTTTGGTTGGGTGTGGTGGTGTGGTCTATTGAATTGTAGCTTTGTGCTAGATTTATGTTTGGCTTTATGGGACTTGGGCTGTTTTTTTTATGGGCACTGTATCTGTATTTTGGAATTTGATGAGAAAGGATGTTAGGTCAGAGGAAAACAAATTGCTCCAATGCCAAATTGACATAGGATGCGATACTAGAATTATAGGAAAAGAGAAAGAGGATAGAAGAGGATAGAAGGATAAAGTGATAAAACTAAAGTCTAAAAAACAAACACCGAGGAAGGGGGGGGAGGGGGGGGGGGGGGGGGGGGGGGGGGGGGGGGGGGGGGGGAGAAGGGAAGAAGCAAGGGAGAGGAAGAGAGAAATTAGGGAAGAAATTCAATTTCATATGTCAAATGTCGTTCTATTACAATGCAAAAGTCCCTTTATAAAGGATTTCAGATGATTCTATTCTAAGTAGCCAATATTTAATAAAATAATATTACATCAAACATGATTACGTTTCCTAAAGTAATCCTTAAAATTGGAAACTATACTAAATAAAATCTCATCCAATATTGTATCATTTCAAATTGACAGATGCTGCGATATTAGAGTTATAGTAATGCTATGGGTACAGGAACCTCATTACAGAAACGATACAGGATTTCAAAATTTGATGACATGGCATCCAAAAAAAAAAGAGGCTGACTAAACAAAAACGCGAGAAGGGACAGCGATTCCTAAACCATTTTTCCCAAAATTGGCATCGAGTCCCACCACTGACGACCCACCCATATCCGGCCAAATTTTTGGGCAATTAACAGGGGCATCTTTAAGCTTTATGTAAATAGGAAGTCGAAGCCATTCTCAAAAAGAATTTCGAAATTTGCACTCACCGATAATGGCAGACAAAGGTATTCTCCCATCTTCTTTGTTGGGTTGTCAATTTCTAGCTTCTCTGTGTCTCCACACACATAAAAGCATCTCATTCATGGCTGCCAAAAAATAATCGCATTTTATTAGTCTCTTCATTTTTGCATCTTCATTTTTTTGGATTTCTTCTTGAGCATAAAGTATAAGTCTTGCTTACATAAATTGTTCTTGTTTGTTCTTTGTCCTTGTAATGGTTGCTATTTTGTTTATTGGGTGGGTAAGCAATTGACCGGGCAGTAATAGAGAAGGGTTAGCTTAAACTTGTGTTCAATTTTGCTTGCTGTATGTTGAGTTTTGTTTAAGGTTCTAACTTCTTTTGTGAATGATCTGTTTTAATTGTTTTTTGTGCATAGTCTGTGTTGGAAAATTAGGGTGCTCCAAATATTGGGATTAAAATTAAATTCCACAGAATTGGCTTTGTTTTGATATTCATTTGGCTACACTGGAAATTACAATTTTGATTGTCTCCATGCATATATCTTTGTTGTTTTCTATACATAAATAGATACGGTTATGGTGTTAACGAGCATTACTAACTTATAAATCTCTCATTTTTTACGCTACTCAGGAAAAGAAATAATGGAAGATGACAATCATGATTTGTTGGTCGATTGTAATGACGAGAATATGCAGGATAATTTGAACATATTGGGCAATGAGAACATAGGAGGAGATGTTGCGACTCCGCCTGAAGTGGGCATGATGTTTAATGATGAGAGACAAATATTGGAGTTCTATAAAAGATATGCTTACGTTGTAGGCTTTCCAATTCGAAAAAGGAATTCAAAAAAGAGTGACGATGGAGTTGTGAGATATCTGACGTTCGCGTGTAGTCGTGAAGGTCAAAGAAATTATGCTACAGGCGGTTCCATGAAACCAACAAGTCAGACAGATTGTAAAGTAAGAATAACCACATCGTTAGATAATCTTGGAATTTGGAGAATTAACAAAGTGTACCTCGAGCATAATCATAACACAAGTCCTTCGAAGTCTAGATTGTACCGATGCAACCGAAGTTTGAGTGCGAGTGTGAAGCGAAAATTCGAAGTGATTGATATGGCAGGAATCCCCTTACACAAGAGTTACAATTCTGCAGTTGTGAAAGTCGATGGATATGAGAATATGACTTTTTTGGAGAGGGATTGCTGAAATTATGTTGAAGAAGTGAGACGATTATGCCTTGGAGAAGGAGATGCCATTGCATTACATGCATACTTTTCAAAAATGCAGGCACGGTGCTCGAGATTTTTCTTTAGTATGGATTTAGACAATGAGTCATGACTAAAGAATGTTTTCTGGGCAGATAATAGATGCAGACAAGTTTACAAAGAATTTGATGATGTTGTCACTTTGGATACTACATCCTCACAAACAAGTACGACATGCCTTTTGCCCCCTTTCTTGGGGTGAATCATCATGGACAAAGTACACTGCTCGGCTGTGGATTGTTATCGAATGAGGACATAGGGACTTTTGTGTGGTTATTCAGGACGTGGCTTGAGTGCATGCATGGTGAAGCTCCTAGTAGAATCATTACTAATCAAGATCGGGCAATGCAAAATGCCATGGAGATTATTTTTCCTACAATGAAGTACAGATGTTGTTTGTAGCACATTATAAAGAAACTGGCAAAAACGTTTGGCTACCACACTCAGAAAAGCTTGATTTTCACTACTATAAATAGATTGGTATTTGATTCAGATATTGTTGAAGAATTCGAATAAGGTTGGAGATCGATGCTTGACACATATGACTTGCATGATAGTAATTGGTTATTGAGATTGTACGAGAATAGGGATCGTCGCCTTCCATGTTATTTGAAGACCACATTCTGGGCAGGGATGTTACCAAACCCAATGTTCGGAGAGTATGAATGTATTTTTTGATGGGTACATGCATTCAAAAACCTCATTGAAGCAATTCGTAGAACAATATGAACGAGCATTGAGAAGTAAGGTTGACAAGGAGTTCCAGGCCGATTTTAAGTCCTTTTCCCAAATGGTGCCTTGTGCGACATGTTTTGAGATGGAAAAGCAATTTCAAGCAGTCTATACCATTACACGGTTTAAAGAATTTCAACAAGAGTTAACTTTTTATATTGCTGTCCAATTCGAGCCCTAGCTCCAGTAAAGAGAAAGCAACTCCAGTTCAAAACCTAGATCTATTATTTAAAGTTGCTTCATCATCTTCCTTTTTTATTTGTCATTTATCATTCCATTTTTTCCCATGTAAACTTGGCCCTCTACATATAAATATATTGTTAAAAATCTAGTGTTAACTCACTTGGACTCTTAGAAAATTCCATGCTGTTGAAAGTATTGGTTTTTGCTAGTTCAATTGTCAAGCCAACGTGGTTAAACTTTTTACATATTTTGCAGTCAATTTGTAATTGTTTTGAACGTTGTATTTTTGTATCAAACTTGAGGGAATCATCTTATTGTCATCAAGTTATCATATAATATATTCTGCAATCAATTCCTATCCTTGCTACTCTCCCTTTATTTGGTAGGCTGGAAAAGCAGTGTCTTTTTAGTTTTCCAGTCCATTTGCTGTTATCAAAAAAATTTGTTATGTGTGGCTTATGACTTTGTCGAACTTTGCAATGAAGGGGACACATTAGACTATGGATTGTCAGCATAAAGATTGAGATAAATATCTTATATTCCATATATTTACTCTAACAAGAAAGACCTGAATGCAACAATAAATGGATAATGGGCTAGATAGCTAAAACTGAGTGGATGTACAATATAAACCAGTGACACAATATACAACAAACGTTGAAGACTGCACAATAACATAGAATTATGTTCATCATCTGCAACCTGTCCCTTTCTGTCGTCGAGCTCCCTTAAATTGGATACAAAGCTGAATGCATGCCCAAGTAATTCCATGTTTGTACAATGATGCCCAATAAAATATTTCTCGTCACGCTGGAAGCATACGCCTTTATTGTTATTGGACTGCAAATCGGAATCTATAATTTTTTGAAAGAGGTTAGAAATTTTAGATTAGGAAGTGTGGCATAGTGGAAGAAGGTTTAAGAAATGAAGGGAGGATGGGTAAAGGGCTCGGGTTGAACCTGCATTTGTATTCTTAAAACGAACTGTACCTAATCTCACTTGGGGAAAGGTTTCAAAAATAACTACAAAAGTTTCAAGATACACTTTAATCACAAGCCTTTCTTGTTAAACGATTCAGCCAAGATGTTCACAAATAAAAACTAGAACAAATATATCGTAAAGGTTATGGCAACCATAACATATATTACGACGAATCCAATAACAATCGATCAATCAATGACCAATTTTGACAAGATTACCCATACATCAAATAAATCGTTCAAGTCAAACCCTTTCCTTTCCCATCGAACTTCGCAATGCCCTTTCCGTTGCTAAAACTCAAGTGCATTGATATGTCCACGCCTTATTTCTCACTACTTCGAGCTAGACCGTCAAAGAGTCTTGGCAAATCTTCATCTTCCACATTGTACTCATGATTCACCATTTCGTTAATGGAACTTGACTCCCCGCTTAGCACTTCTTCTTTCACCCAATCGAAATATCCACAATCATTACTACAGGTGAAGAACAATTGCCCTTTGTTACTAGTATCCCATTCCACCTCAAAACACTTGTGATATCCATGTTTACACGAAGGGCATCGGCACTTTGTTGGGCATTGTCCAAAGTAATGAGTTTTGCTTCTGCAACCGTGACAAACTCCTAAATTCCTTCCTCTCATTATAGTCGATCCGGGCTGGACAAACAAATAAACAAAGATGAATCCATCTCAGTTGCAAAATTCCACATCAACAACCTAAACCTCATTATCCATGTGAAAAACTTCAACAACCTAAGCTCGTTAACAAATGAATTGATTCTGTGTGGAAATTCGTAACCACAGATTTCAGACCATATCATTCAACATTGGCGACACTAAATTTTAAAAATAAAAAAAAAACCTACATCCAGAAACAAAACTTTAGAGGATGGCGACTGCTAAAAAATTCAACACTTTACCACATAAAATCATATTATGCACACCATATCATTTAAAATTGGCGACAAGGAATTTAGAAGAATACAAAAAATAAAATAAAAGGTAAATCTAGAAACAAAACTTTAGAAGACGGCGATCGCCGAAAAAAATCAACAGTTTAGAAGAAGACACAGAAAAATATAGCTAAATTACGAACACAACTATTTACATTCTCAACCTGATGGAGTGTGGCAGGGGAGGGATGCGAGTGCAGCGTCGGGGTATCTTAGTGAATGCGGCATCGGATTTTCTGCTCCCAGGCAGCTTGTTGGCACCAATGGTGAAGGAGGTGCATCCATCGATGGTGACGGTGATCGGGAGTACAGGAAGATTGGTTTGGGGAAGATATTTCGTGCGTGAATTGGGGGAAAATGGAAGACTTTGGATTTGGGGAAATGGACATACGATTTCAAATTGATTTTTTTTTTTTTTTTTAGTATGCCACATCATCATTATTTGAAACCTTGTAACCCTTCTGTAACAAGTTTCCTGTACCTGTAGCATTTTTGTTAGAGTTATAGGAGAAGGGAAAGGAGATAGAAGAAGAGAAAGGGGGGTGGGGAGGGGGTAGAGGGAAGAAGAGGGAGAGAGGAAGAGAGAAATTGGGGAATAAATTCAGCCCTTGTTTGAGCCTCATTTTGGAGGAAAATTTGAATTTTTGAACAGTGTATTGATGGAAAATGTGTGGTTAAAAAATAAGGAAAAATTTTGAATTTGCGTGTAATATTATTTTATCAAAGAATTTATGATTAAAATGATTTTTAAACACTGTTTAAGAATGTATTTTTTGGGAAAGAATGAGGCTGAAACAAAGGCTCAATTTATTTCATCTTTAAACGTGTCATATTATTTTATTAAAGAATTTGTGATTAAAATGATATTTAAACACTGTTTAAGAATGTATTTTTTGAAAAAGAATGGAGCTCAAACAATGGCTCAATTTATTTCATATATTAAAAAGTTGTTCTATTACAACACAAAAGCCCAAATATTTAATAAAAGCTATTACATCAAACTTGATTACGTTTCCTAAAGTAATCCTTAAAATTGGAAACTATATTAATGAAATCTCTTCTAATATTGCAACACTTTTATTTGTTGATGTTCTTTCTAGTTGGCTTACAATGAATATACTGTGTACACCACTCTTTTTCTAGATTAGAAAGCTAAGGAACCTAACCTATGTCAGACTTTCTCCAAGTTAAAGTCTATCAAGCCAGTTTTATTTCCAAGAGGTTTATGCAGTGGTCCAAACCTAGCTCCCCCC